TGGCAGACTTGTCAGGTGTTTGTCCCATGGTTATCCAGATGCTCATCCTCTTGTCATCACTCTTAATGCATTTTACTCTTAAAAAAGAAACGAAAACAAGAGTTACGGGGAAAAGCAGAAACAAGGATGCTCTCACCGGAGGAGTGCCCTGCTGAGCCCTGCAGGCTCTTCTTGGTCCTTAAAACATGAGTTGTTTCTGTACAAGAGCCCAGCTTCACGGAGAAGGCTGGAAAGGGCAGGGGAGAGGGGGTGCGTGTCTGATACAGACTGGGGGAGGCGGGCCAGGGTCTTCCATTTCCTGGCTGGTTTGGGAGGTAGGATGCTGGATGAACTGCCTCTGGTAGCAGAAATAGCCAGCATTTGATGTGACAGTGAAAAGTCTATTCCAGCTTAGTGTTTTGAAGACCACTGTGGGTCTCTAGCCTCAGGGTGGAATCCTTCGCACTGCATGTCAAAGGGACAGTGGCCACCCTGAGCCCACACGTACCCTGAGGCCACACATACCCTGACACCACATCCCAGTGAGGCATGACAATGGAAGCACGTCTTGTGCTCTAGCCAGAAACGGTTCCCCAGGAATGGGCAAGCGTTGGAAATATCTTTTGAATTGCCTTACTTACACCTTAAATAATACAGTCTGAGAACTTGACATATAGTTTCTACCCCTGGGGTCCACAGCCTAAAAGAGCATTTTAGCACCTATCTCGTAGGCTGTTTTTGGAACTAGCCCTTATTGTCAGACTTACAAAGCCATTTAGGGGATTAACTTCTATTGAGCATCTAGGTTTTAAAGGAAATGAGTTTTTCACTTGCGCTGGGGAGTACTCACTGAGGCAGAGTTTCAGCTACTGTAAATAAATACTACTGATTTGAACTTTCACGTAGCTCAATAACATGGACGGTTTAGAGAACCATGATGCAGGTAAGTTTTAAAAATAAATTTTAAAAAATCAGAACCCTGGTTCCGTAAATAAATACTACTGATTTGAACTTTTCACGTAGCTCAATAACATAGACAGTTTAGAGAAGCATGATGCAGGTAAGTTTTAAAAATGAATTTTAAAAAATCAGATGTCTTCATGATAACAAATAAATCACCACCACCCTAAACAAAAAAACAAAACAAAACAAAACAAAAAAACAAACTAGAAATTAAACTGATGGTGAGATCAGTCCTCTGAAATCTTTTCTTTTTCTGAAGTAACATTTCTTATTCGGATCTCTGAGGAGTAAGGTAGCATCCACCTGTCATCAAACTAATAAATGCTGGTACCACCTATACTTGAACCATTCTGCCTGCGTTGTTGCTCTAGTCCCCTCCTCTTGTACCATAGTCCTGGGATAAGACTGTAAGGAGGTAGGTGGGTAAGTTGCAAAGCACAGTTAGAACAAGATAATTCTGAGTGTTCTTGAAAAAATTTAGGTGCCTAACAGAAAAGGCACCTCAAAATTCGGGGCAGGTGGAGGTCAGAAAGAGGGTTAAGTGCTGGACTACTCAGCCTAACGCAGGGGTTTGGAGGAGTCCAGCTTCTTGTGTTCCTCGGTGGGTCCAGCCCTTAAAGCAGGCTGTTTCCTTGCAGAAACATTGTTTTACCCGAAGATGCACAGCCACGGGAGAGCAGAAGACAAGCAGAACGAGCACTATCATGAACACATTATAGAGTTAGAGAAGCTCTTTAAGGTAAAGGAATACATTTGAGATGAATAAAGAAAATAACAGGAGGTAATGTATGTTACTGTTCTAACTTTTGCCTTCTTTCACAAACTGAGTTTCATATTCGGTCTGTTGATCCAAGCTGCCTCTCCTACATTCAGAAGTCCCAGCAAAGACTGATTACAAACATTTTTTTTTTGCTCTGATTTCTGTTTTAAAAGACATGTGAGTTTACACTCTTTTAAGACTTAGTAGTACTATTAATCATGGAATTTTCCTTTGAAAACGGGACTTAAACATCTACCTTTTTCATCCAGCATAAAAGATTAATTTTATTATTATGGAAAAGAAACCTGGTTTTACTTTTCTTAAAATCTCATAGATTCATTTTCCAGTTATACAGAAAGTAGTTACCCAGGGATTCAAGACTCAGGTTTTTAATGATAACATGCTTTATTATGTTTATTTCCTTTCAGCAAAGTTTCTAAGGCCCTAAAACAACAAAAAAAAAATCAGACAGAATTTCTTACAGTTTAGCTATTATGCTGAGCTTGTTGCTATCCATAGTTGTGTCATGTTACTTCCTTGATTTTTTTTTCCTGCCTCTTAACTATTTGGGCAAGCGGTACAGCATGAAACAGCACAGTAATTGTTCAACATAAAATTTCCAAATTACAGTTGGTGAAGTTTACTCATAAGGATCTAGAAGTTTCCAGAAGAAAAAGGTGAATCTATGGAAACTACTGAAAATAAACAGCAATAAACAATAGTTTTTACTATTTTACACAGGAAAGTCTATTTACGTAATCCAAACTCTGTCACAGTAAACAGGCTCTTTCTGGGTCTCATCCTGCTAGATTCATAAAATATTTAAAGAGTTTTAATATTACATTTCAAATTACACTTTTGGAATTTTCTGTTATATGTAGGTTACTAGTTTTTAAACCAATTATTATATCGATAAGTTTTGGGTTGTTTTCTTTTGGTTTTCATTTGTATCAGTCTCATGTTCAGCTGCTGTTCACTGATATTACCATGGTACAAAAATGAAGCTGTTGTTTTGGGTTTGGGTTTCTTTGGAAAAAAAATAATATATTGTTCTTATTATGCTATGTGTGATGTGATTTTCCCTGTGGACTATGCTGGTAGAAGTAATATGTCTATGGAATTTAAATTAAAACAGATGAAATACCTGCAAAGTTGTGCACTACAGATCTTTTTTTCTTCCTCAAATCTCAAAAATGAGCAGTTATTTTGAAAAGATAAACTAAAAGTATCAAAGGAGGCAAGAAATAAAGGTGTTACCAGAAATAATCAAAACAATCTGGTATTCCAGGTACTTAACCTCAACCTCTCCCCCTTTTTTCCCTCAGTAAAGTGGGGATGTATTTTGACTGTCTCTACAAGCAGTGAAACAATACCAACTTCTCAGCTTATGAATATTTCTATACCAGGGTTCCAACTGAGAAATTTAATGTAATCAGATTCATTACATTATCATTTTGGCATTTTAATATAAATAGGATCATCAGAGAAACAACCTGATGCTACAGGGTTTTATTTGTAATGCTGTGCACAACTTAGAATTATCTGCTATGACATTTGATAACTCAGGAAATAAACCAACTTATTAATAGTACAGTTCTGTATATCCTCATCAACTTCACATGCAAGCATTTATATATCTGGAAACATTTAGTAAGTGAAAGGAAAAAAAATATCCCTTGCAATGTATATGTGTCCTGTTCAGGAGTACACAAAGCCAAAATGTGATGTTTTCTAACAGTATATGACATTGTAAACAATTTAGGTCTTCAGTGCTAAGTTGAAGGACACTTTGATTTAGGATT